CTTATCTTACATTAAAATTTTTAAAGATTTTTCTAAAACTTAAACTGTATGTGAAAGAATCAGTTCTGAAACCACAACTGAAGCACTAAATGTGCTGTATACACATGCTGAAACCACAATACAGCATCAAATGAGAGCTGTATACTCTGAAGACTAAAAAGCAGGTTATTTCTTTGAAATGTGTTTCAGTACAAGTTGGTAATTAAGCAAGTATAGTCAACAATGTGGGACTGAGAAGCTATAAAACAAAATGGCCTTTTACTGGTTATTGCAACACCATTTAAAAGGAAAAAATATTTTCACAAATTTGTAGTAACAGAACTGCATGGGGAAAAAGAAGGTTCTGCAAATGCTTCGTGTTTTATTTTCACGTGGTCATGACTTACAGATTCCTTTTGCTCTTTGTATTTTTACTGTAGATTCCCAGTTTATGATTTTGGAGTAAATTAGATTAACACAGCAAACATCTGGCTGAAGTCATCTCACAACTTAAAGCACTGACAAACGCTAGTTACTGAAACCTAATTAATTCCAAGTTCAGCAGAGAAAAGCCATGAGTTGTTTAAAAGTATTATTATATGTATTTCAGGAAAATTGTAACCCTACTGTATTACAGCAAAGCATTTACAAAACAAGAAAAAGGAAAAGAGAAAGGAAATTTTATCACTATAGCAGATGGGGTGATAAGGCAGAAAGCTATTCAATGATTCACCCATGGTTGCATGGGAGATCTCTAGCAGAGGCAGGAACAGAATACAGATTTTGCCCATCCCATTACCTAATCCATAAAACTGTCCATCTTCCCTGTTTTGTACTTCTGCTGACAGAAGAGTGAGGTGAGTAAGAGAACTGAGCAGACTTGCGCACAAAACTGTACCCTCTCTTTGTGGAAGACAAAGAATACCTTGCAGATGGCTCAGTAATACTAATATGAATCACAGTTGGGCAGAAAAATTGCTTGCTAAATTTGCCTCACCATCAGCATTCCTGAATCATAAATCAAGACCGTTGGTGCTGCTAAAAAACTAGAGATCCATTAATGGCAAAACCCAAAGAAAGTTGGTTATATTCCTAATCTAGAATACTAACATTGCTTCAGATATGCCCAAAAAGTGAATGCATCAGGCCAGTGTTACAATGGGAAAAGCCAGATTTTGATAAACATAAGCCATCTGGTGACATAAGCAAATGCAATTACCATCCTATTATGACCTTATAAACAAAAGAAATGTTCTGATTTGGGGAGCGTAAATGAACATAATAAGGAGGTAATATTATAAATTACATAAATTTGCTAAAGCTTAGAGCTCTTTGAGAAGTATATTTGTCATGCAGCTGTGGCCATTTCAAATGTGTTGTGTTCACTAATCAACACTTTAGGTGTTGATTCTCAGAACTAAAACTCTTACTTCCCTCCCAATACTGAATGTTAAATGGATTTTTTTTCTGAAAAAAATATATACAAGCATATATATGCATACTTATATATACCATATTTTATCTTTTATGTTAGCAAGTCACAGGTAATATCAGAGATTTCCCATCTATTTGGAAGGGTACTACTTGTGAGCTTTTGCATCACACTTTTCAGAACTCAAGATTATGTTTTAACTTTAGCCTAGTGCCAGAGATAATCTCTGCATCTGTGTGTTCTGTTCAAAGTAAAAGGCATTCCCAAGACCCAGAGTTATCAGGAAAGAGGTGCAGGAGCAAGTCACAACTTAGAAGAGTGTGGCTACTTACCAGGCAAGGAAGTTTTCCTGGTCCCTGGCTGACTGTGCCTTTCAACACATTGTACAAATATCTTGGATCAACAAATGCTGCGCATAAAAAACAAAGCAGTTGTCGTGGTTTAACCCCAGTCGGCAACTAAGTACCACACAGCCACTCACTCACCCTCCCCCCCCCGGTGGGATGGGGGGGAGAATCGGGGA